AAAAACTAAGTCCAACAACTTATTTTTAGAGTTTACTACATTATTGATCTGAACAAGAGGCAGATCTATAAGAGAGCCAACAAAATCGTGCTGGGTGACAGGAGTCAAAAAGTTTGAATCATCGTTATCAATCCAACTGACGAAAGGCAGATTGAAGTCGCCAAGAACCACTAGGCGATCATTATCACGCAAACGTGAGTGCAGATTGTGAATAGCTGCAGAATGACAATCATGAACTTGCATATCCGACCGAGGCGGTATATACGAACAAGAAACATATAAGTAGAAATTGGGGAACGAGAGCTTTACGGCTATAAATTCAATGTCAAGTGTGTTGTCATAGGTCAACAACTCAGTAGAAATACTGGACGACACAGCGTTGAGGACACCACCTGCTCTGGACTGACGATCACACCGAAAAACGACATAGTCATTTGAAAATATTTCCGAATTAAAATTATCTGGTTTTAGCCAGGTTTCAGTAAACGCAATCACTTGCGCTGTAAAATCAAAACTATTTAGATAGAAGGCATTCAGTTTAGAACGTAAACCACGAACATTCTGATAATGAATAGTTACTATTGAATCGTAATGGTCGGGTTGGTACTCACGTTTTTTGAACCTGTACGTATGGGAGGCTCATCTTTCGATTTTGTGGTGAACAAATGTACCACCGAGTGTATAGGCCAAAAAGATTTTTCAAGAACCGTAGCAAAATACTCGTCCGGAACTGATATTTTAAATGATGAAAAATCCCTCTCATACTTAAAAACAAACTTATGTACGCTAATATTAATACAACTTGTAAGACTAAGCTGAACTAAAATATAATTAATAATATCAGCCTGTGTTAAAGTTGGATGCAACCGCGATACAAAAATTGCACGGCGAGGCGGCACGGCGGTCACCAACCTAGGACCGACCGGATTCAAATCGACATCACCAGAAAAACCAGCAACATCATCATTGCTAACAGCATTGTTAACAGCATCAGTGCTATTACCATTCGCATTATTTACAGCCGTATATATATTGTTTTGTTCAATAACAGCCGTATTATCAGTATTATCAGCAACAACAGATGGGGTGGCCACGCGACTAGCGTAGGATATGTTATTTACGTTGTTAGACGCCACGACTGCAGGTACAGAGGTAACAGAGTTGGTCGATGTAACACTGTTAGCTACAGCAGAGTTAGCTATGCTATATATTGGTGTATTCAAGATAGCATTATTAATATTAGTAGAGCTAACAACACTTTTAGCAACCGACACCTTTTCAGCCGTCACAACCGTACACATAGCATTGTTGTTGCTCAACTCCTCAATACGTTGGTTTAACTCAGTGTTATGTTCACCGGCAACAGATGCTTTAGCAGAGGTTTGCTGGCCTGTAGGAATATCTTTCTTAGCGTTTTTATTGTTTTTATTTCTTCCTTTGATTTCTTTATTTTTGTTTTCTTTATTTTTGCTAACACTCAAACTCAGTTCTTTGACCTCTGATGTTAGCGAGGCAAGTGCACTAGCAACCCCTTCATCACAGATTTTTGTGAGACACTGTAGCTGAGAGCGCATAAGTTCTAATTCGCCCAGAAACCTGTTTTTGTCGGCTTGCAGAGAGTGTATAACTGCCACTGCACTTGCTTGCTCTGTACGCAGACTCTTCAATTCGGCAAGAATGGAAGATAACAAGTGATTCTGCTCCAAGAATGATAGAATACAAGATTGCGCCGATCAGAGAGGATTTTTGAGCGTAATTTTTCGGTGACGTCACACTGGTGCAGCTGCGAGAGAGCAATGTCAAAACGCGAACAAGAATGCAAGAAGAAGAAGACATTTTGCACGAAAAACGTAAACAATACGAAAAAATTTATTTATAACACATTAAAATAGGAAAATTTATAGATATTAAGCATATATATTAGCTTTAATTAAAGATGAAAGCATTGTTGTGGTGTTGTGCATATAGTCTTTAGGGTAAGTATGAAAAATAATGTTGGGACAAATGTATGTGTTAAAAATGTTTGCCATTTCAGAATCAACGCTCCCACGAGTTAGTCGAAGATGAAATCTTTGAAAAGTATTATCAAAGGTATTCTAAATAATAATAATACAATCTAAATAATAATAATACAACTTCCGACGCGTACCTTGATGAAGGTGAGCAATTAGTGCGTGAGTCTGAGCACTTGCTGCAGACAATTGGCAGCGAAGCAAATGCCGCACTGCGCCAAGCCAACTCAGAGCTGGGTGCGTGTATAGACGAATTCCGTGAAATGTCGCTGCAGGTATCGAAGGATGTTAATCAATTGCAAGATACTGTGATGGCGTTGTTCCTAGCAAGTAGCTAGAGATTAATAGTTTAGTATAAACTTAATTCAGTACCTTATATTATTTTCAGGCGCGTTATAATCCCATTAAGATATGCGATTTTCTGCTGGAAAACTGTTTAGAGCCACTAATTTTGAAGCCAGGTTCATTGGACTACAGAAAGCATACCACAGCAATCTTCTCTTGCAGATATTTCCGATGCACACACAGTTGGCACTGCGCCGTTGAAATTATTGCGTCAGTGTTTGCGTCAATTAGATTTGTTGAAAAATGTTTGGCAGAATGTGTTACCCAATGCAATTTATAACAAGACATTTTGCGATATTATACATGATTTTTGTAATGAAATAATACGACGTATACTCGCAATGGAGGACATTTCGGCAACAGTGGCAAGTGAGTTGAGTGAGCTAATCGGTGTCATATTGGAGAAGGTGCCAACTTTATTCAAGGTAAATTTCTGATGGGATGCAATGATGCGAATCAAATGCTATTTTTTTTTTGTACTTCCTGCAGCACAAACATGAAGTGATACATATTAAATCTTGGATAAAACTTGAGCAATTCAAAATGATACTGAATGCTTCGTTGCAAGAAATCACCGAGCAGTGGTGTGAAGGTGCCGGTATTTTAACGGCAAACTATAAGGCAGAAGAAATTAAGCATCTCATACGAGCACTTTTCCAAAATACCGATCGGCGCCCCAAGGCATTAACGAAAATTGTCTAAACAAGATACACTGCGTTTTTTCTGGTAGTATAAGATTTTTATTCTAAAATTTTGAAATAGTTATTAAATAATAGGTATGTTTTTCTGAAATATTTCTGATAAAAGTTTTCGTTGCATTCGCTATTTTTTTGGTAATATTCGCAATGTTTACATGCCTTCAAGCAAGAATTGTGCACAGATAATGAACGACGACTCATCCATCCATTCTATTATCGGCGATCATATCTGGGAAAATACAAAAGCACAAAGTTTTTCATAAGTTATTTATAAATGATGTTTTTAATGGTTTAATTGGAAGATTGCAATAAAAAACTTATTTATGTACGTATATTGTTATTGTTTTTAGTTGTGCTATTGTCGTATGCATATCGCACACCATCTGTAAAAGGGGCACAACTCAAACAAATTTTCGTAGATTTTTACGCATAAATCAATCCATATGAATGCAAATATGTTTTTCTGATTTTTGAGTTGTACCTCTTCAGAAGATGGTGTGCGATATGTGTTTTGTTGCAAACAATAACCGTCTAAGTCGACTTAAGAATTGTATGCCAATTGCATGCATGAGGCTGTACTCGACTTAGGCGGCTATTGCTTATGACCACAGATATAAGTAGAATTTTTATCTCTTTGTTTAATACTTGCGGCCCTGAAAAGGGCCTTTATATTAAACGGATGAACTGAAGAACCGTTCTCGTTACGAACTGCAAAAGATAAAAAGGAAAAATTTTAAAGAAACGTTAGATTTAAAAATTATTGATATTTTGTCAGACACTATACCTTGAACATTAAAAGAACATTAATATGAAGCGACATCAGACAGTTTCAGTTTTCTGGACCAATACAAGCAAATCTAGGTCAGTATTTTTGTATATTTTCTTTTTTTTGTGCGGGCGTTTTCAATTAGTTTTTTATTAAGTTTTCTTAACGTAAAAAACATTCTCGCCCTAAAAAATATTTTTTTTATTTTAATGTCGCAATTTATACTAGAGGCCTGCTCAATATGTTTTTTTACAAAATCATTTGTAATGAGCAAACCATCTTCGTTCATTGCTCTGAATACTGATTCTAGATTGCTTATATGTTCCATCATACTGCTGCTAGGTACAGATAATCCTCCTTCACTTAAGTGATTTACCCATGTGTAGGAGGGATCATCTGCGCCTTTGAGTGAGGTGCTGGGGATATCGTCTCGCAATCGGTGGCATATGTATCCGGCTAAATTTTCTAGACCATCGTACTCTAGATCCTCAAACTCTGGTGGCTCTATATCGATAGGCCATTTTTCCGAAACAACGTTTTTTCAGTATGGCACCTATACAAGTAAAGATTAAAATGTATTCTATTCTAGCTAACAATAAATTTTCATTACCTGTAAGAGGGGGCTGCGACATTTCTAAGTCGGGTGTATCGTCTTCTTCCACATTTGCTGCATTCGATATCACGCCTTCATTGCGTCGAAGCAAATATTCTCGTAGACGATATTTGAATTCTTGCTGGTCCGGGTGGTCATGCAAACCGCCCTTGGCTCGAATTACTCCAAAGAAATTTTCCAGCACATCCTGGTTCAAGCGATATGTTAAAATATATTTAACATTGAACCGGCTTTGAACGCTTCCATACAACATCTTGAGCGCGTTGTTCGACTGTATGATACCTGCAAGTAAATAAATAAATAAATAAATATGCGTCCATAAATATTACACAATATTTGTTTAAAGGCACATATGTATATATATATATGTATATATATATGTGTATGTGTGTGTGCGTGTGTGTGTGTATATAAATGTTAATATGTATTTTATTTGCTTTATGTATGTGTCTAAATATACGAATTTACCTCTTTGAAATGGTAGCAAAGTTTGTCTTCCTATCACCCTCATATTTTTGACCATTTCCGTCATAGCGTCTAATATTTTGACCTGCTCATCAATTGCTAGACCGTAGGCGTGGCACCGTGTTCTTGAGTCTGCGTGTGGAACCCTGACGTTCATCACTTGCGGCGTACAACGTGATGGAATTCGCGATGTCTTCTTGACTCCAAGTAGGTTTCTTAATGTCGTGCTTCAGTTTCGAAACCTGACCCTTCGTGAAAATGGTCAGCAGTTTGCTCTCCATGTTTTTACACATATCTTCGTATTCATCCAAGCGTTTTTTCAGCTGTTCCACCTCATAGTCATGCTTCTTTTTCTCATTACCGTACTTTTGCTGGAGTGCCGCCAGTTCCATGTCCTTCTTTTTGTTATTCATTAACAGAGTCTTGTTTTCTCGCTTAAGTCTTTTTCTACGTGTAACAAAATTAAAACTTTAAACACAAGAATATGCCAACATGTTTAGATTGCCTTATTGATTTTACAAACTCACAGTTGAGCTTCCAGCTCCTCAACTTCTTCCAAACTGCTGTCGTAGTAGAAGACTTTACGAGGTGTTGAAGTCGCGGGGATTTCGGAAAGATTTGCATCCACTAGGCTATTTTCCTTATTCTCCACATTTTCGTCAATCGGAACAACGTTGGCACTGTTATTCGCCTCGGCTATAACAACTTATTTGCAAATATAAGTCGAAACTTTCTTTAAAATCAAATTGTTACCTTCATTGACTGCGACAGGTTCACTCTGCTGAAGTAACTCGCTGACAATTTGTTTGTACTCCTCGCGCTGAACACTTTCGGCACGCTGGGAGGTTTCCCCATCCTCTGGGTAAATGCTGGGCACAGCACCACGCTTTAAAAGGCGTTTTTTTGCAAATCCTAAAGCGTTTGCAACAATAACATTAAATGGAATGAATTTAGAAAATACACAATATATTACCCATTTCGAACTGTCGATTGTTTTCTATATCTTCACTAGAAAAGTGCTTCATGCACACGTAGCTCGATTTGGGATTCAATAATGCACTTCCTCGCCGGCAAAACTGCATCCACTTTCTGGCGAGAGCTTCGTCCGTAGGAAACGAAAAAAAGCTTATATCGCACGCTTGCCTATAGTTTTCACTATCACAATTTGCCACTGCACACTTCATTTTGCCTTAGTATAAGTTTATAAAGTTTAAATAATCACTTTGAATTGCTTAAAATCTCGCAGAAATAACACACAAATAAATTGTTAAGTTCAAAATCAACAATTGCACCAGTGTGACGTCATACAAACAGCTGATTCTGTCAAATTCGTTAAGAGAAAAATAGCGGTACCGAGATCGGCGCAACCTTTGTATTCTCTCAATCGTGATTCTGCTCGTTATTTACATGTTGATGTTGTTGTTGTACAGCGACAGCATTGTATGACACACCATCTTCACGATCAGTGACAGCACAATCACCACAAATATAAATATTGTCGGAATTTTTGGAATAGTCCAAATCAGCGGCCAACGTACCAACAACACATTGCAGGTGG